GCCTTGTGGTTGTGTAGAGGAACTTCTTGGATGGAGGAGAGGCAGCAGCAGCAGCAGCTATGACAATGGCGTCCTCGGGTGACGAAGAAGAAGAAGAACTCTTCGTCTCGGAGTTGGAGTTTGCTGCTGCTGCTGCTGCTGCTGTTCTCCTCGCCGTCTCGGCCGCCAGCCTCGCTCTCTTCCTCAGCGAGAAAGTAAAGTGGACGCCATCCACTTCCACGTTTTCCACCTCGTTCCTCTCAATCCTATGGAGAAACTCGCTAAAGGCAACGCTGACATAGTGGACGTTTGCTTCCGCGCCAGCCGATGGAGCTCCAGGCGAGCCCGGGAATGGAAGTCCCGGCCTCAAGAAGCGCATGAGCATGAGCACCACCCCGAGCTGGAGCAGCAAAGCTCCAATCTCATGAGCCTGGGTGGCGGCACCCTTGGAGCCCCAGCTCCACAGATTCCACGCCCACTTCGGCCGCCTCCACCATCCCTGCTGCGATCGATGGTGAGACGGCGGCTGCGAATCCTGGCCGCCGCCTCTTCCCGACGTGCTAGTGCTTGTGCCGCCGCCGCCGCCGCTGCTATCGTCGTCGCCATTGTGCTCCTCGCTTGGCGACGAGCCCTCCGAGGCGAAATTGGAGGCGAAATCTCTTGTTCTCCGGGGATGGAGCAGGGATTTCTTCACCAGCAGCCATTGCTGCTTCCTCCGGAGGCCTAGTTGGTGCCCTGGATTGGAGAATCGCCGGCCAGTGAGCGAGAGGTGAATCTGGAGGCCAACCTGTGGCGAGAAATAAGAAGATGCACACCTGAGCGACGAGGAGGAGGAGGAAGAGGAGGATTGGTGATGGAGAAAGAGTGCCGCGCACCAGGAGCAAGCGTTCATCGTCGCAAATCACCGCGCCCTACCACATTTTAGGGCTCCTCTGGTCTAAAACCTAAGCATGCTTACAAAATCAAAATTGGGGTACATTGTGATTTCTATCATTAATGATTCGTGATATTATAAACACTTCTAGCTAAAACACTGTTGTACTTCTTGGACTCACAAATTTAGATGAAAGAGGCTATGAGAAGATGATAGAGAAGAAGTGTGGATGCTTTGCCGTTAATCACAGATTTGGAAGGAAAGATGTTCTCTTGAACAAAAAAGATTCGTGAGATCATCTTTTATGCCAAAAATATATTTCCCTGTAAGACACTTTCACTAAGTTGGGCATTTGCCAGCAGACTTTCCAAGTACTTTTTTCTCTTTGGATGTGGTGGTGACCTATAACAGGTTTTGCAAGGTTTCCAACATGATGAGGCTGAGAGGCTACTTGAAGATATGGTTTGGAAGTGGGTGTGCTCCAATGGTGATAACTTACATAATGCTCATTGACAAATTCACCAAAATAGACAGGTTAGTGGATGTATACTAGGTTATTGAGGACTTATCGTTGAGGACATATGTATTGGGTGATATTGGGTGAGGAAGTAACAAGGAGAAATCAAGAAAATAAAGGAAGAAACAATGTGGAAGAATAAAAGAAACCTTGGAAAAGGAGGAACAAAAGCTAGATAAAGAATGAGAGTCAGAACTGATTAATGTGTTAGTAAAAGAGAATACTAGAAATTATGAAGAAATAATGTGATAAGAAGGTGGCTCAGTCTAAGACAAAACAAATATTCTAGAAAGAGGAAAAAGCAGATGAAAGAGAATTAGATGATAGATTTAAGAACACTTTATATCATATAAAACTTCAAACTCACCCTCAAAACTATTGAACTCCTTACTAATTTAAGGAATTCATTTGAGCTCAAATATTGCTGGAAAGGATAAAGAGAGGTTGTCACTCTATCAATGGGGTATTAAGTTGCTTGAGGAGAGAGGAAGAATGTGTGTGATTTCATAAGATTAGAGAAGAGAACAGCAAGAGCATAACTAGTTGAATTTAAATTATATCTATCTCAAATGTATGTTCAAAATTTCAAGTAGAGATACCCAGTAGCAAGTAGATGATAGCAAGGCTGCTAACAAGATAAATAGAGTCTAAACCTTATTAAATCTACCACCATATAGTTCTTTAAGTATGTTGCAAATGTTCATAACTCCTAGACAAAAGTTTCCTCACACAAAAATTTAAGAAACTTTATTTACTAAAAACTTACCCCAACCAAGGAAAGATGGAATTATATTCTTAGCTCACAAAATTCAATTGGATTTGCAAGTAGGGTCTCTACTAGAATTGAGATTAGGATTGCCATGTAGATTCTATTGCATATGATTCAAAGAAAAGAAAATAAAGATTACTTTATGAAATTGCTTATAGGCTATAATTAAAACTCTTTAAAACACTTTAAAGTTCACTCCTTTAAATGCTTTTAAACACTGTTAATTGCTCTAACCTTAAAGACACAACCTTAATAGACACATTACAAGCTCAACAAGCAAGTATATAGAGGTTTAACTTCTAATCCAGAAATTAGATCTCTCATCTAATGCAAGCTCAACTTTCCAAAGGCAATTCTATCCCTAATTGACAAGCCCAACTACATTATGAGACATAACCTAACCCTTCCTTATTGTTGCCCTCTTTTTTATAGCTGACTTTCTTGCTGATTTCCTCTAGATCCTTGTTATCCTTCAGTGTAAATTCCTTCCACAACTTTTAAGAAATATCCATACATCTCTATGTCATACTCTAAATATCAAAACATAACTTTAATATAGTGGCATAAGAGGTCCATAAAGTAAAAACACTTACAATGCTTAAAGAAAAGACCAAAACTACACCCCACCAACTCATTTGAGCCCTCCTTTGCTCCAACCCTCAACTGGATCTTCATTATCCTTTAACTTTGTAAGACTCATTGTTCATTATTTTTAACTACACATTCCCCATGTCATCATACTCACTAGTTCTTCAAATATGGCCACTTCCCATAAATTGTAGTATATCATCATCATCATCACTCCAAAAAATACTCTCTTCCCCTAACTCTTGAAAGAACTTCCTTTTGAAGAGAATTTGCCACATTTGATTTTCACCATTTATTACCTGGACTCTTCATTCTTATTTGATTTTGATGCATATGTGTAACGCATGTGATTATAGGATGAGATTTAGATATATTATCACCGTGGATCCTTGGAACTTTGGGGGGATAAATAGGGATAAAATAGCTATTAAAGGCTCTCTCATTAAATAATTACCCCTTTTTCAGTTGGATTAAGGGGAGAGAGATAAAGTGTGCTGCATGTGGTATCAGAGCAAATGGCATGGGTTTGATTTCCATTGATTAGTGGCTACTTAAAAATATAATATACCTTACGTATTGGGCATCCATGCGTATGTCCTTCCTCTTGTGTGGAGTATCTATGGATTGCGGTATGGGTGGATGATTAGTTGCCTCACATGGAATAGCTAGTCTATACAATGGACTGTAGTACGTGTGGAGTATCTATGGATGAAGGTATCCATTGTGGGACTACGGTATGGGTGGATAATTAGTTGCCTCACATAAAATAGCTATATCCACTGTGGGACTGCGGTATGGGTGGATGATTAGTTGCCTCACATGGAATAACTAGTCTATATAATAGACTGCGGTACAGGTGGATGACTAGTTGCCTCATATAGAATAGCTATATCCACTGTGGGATTGCGGTATGGGTAGATGACTAATTGCCTCACATGGAATAACTTTCAAATAGCCTTGGCTTCACTAATCCCCTCTTTTGCCACTTGAAAGAACATTTGTAATAATTTATCAACCCATGCCTTCACTGTAGCAATACATTGTAAAAAAATTGTCATGCCATGGAATCAACTTCATCTAGGTCTTAGTTTAGAATATGAGTCACATGCAATAGATTTGCCTGATAGACTTGCACAGGTTTGTTAAGTTTGTACTTCCTGCACTTGTTGGTGGGATTGCCAAGCTGCAATAACTACCTACACCAAGTCACTACCTCTTTTCAAGTTTTCATATAATCCTTGCTCCTTTGGGAAACAAACTAATGTTATGCTTCTCTATCTACAATGCATTTATTATTTCCTCTCCCTTTACCTTTTTGTTCCAAGCAGCACATTCAAAAGGTCTAAGTAAATGTCAAAGTCCTCCCCAAGTTTGTAGGTGGGGTATTTTATACTTTCCCTTTGGGTGTCCCAGCCTAGCAGCATGTGCCACTTCACTAAGTCACCTGGAAAATTGAGGATCACACATCAAATCTAGAAGCTTCTTCCTGATCCTATCACCTTCTTGGCTATGTCAAGAACTTTACCATCCTCAAGTTGCAAGACATCGTTAGTCAGATCCTGCTCATGATCATGAGTAGAGGTCCTTTCTTTGCCACTGTTTGCCACCATAAAACTGCTTAAGAAGCCTGCATTTCAATGTGAGAACAATAGGGTGTTAACAACTCCAACTACTGTACATTAACCAGTCTTTAGACAGCAAACAAGCATTCCATCTTTGGTTGATTGAATCAAGCTACCACAGCTTAAAACAAAACAACACCACATAGTCTTGTCCCATGAAACTACCACAGCTTCAAATGAAAATTATGTGACATTCCAAGTCACTCAAACAGCCACCACAACAATCTAGAATGACTAATGGACCCAGCTTATTCATAATGGTACTCCCATCTCCACCAAAGAATGGGCATATGCTTAAATGAGGTCCATGATCATATTTCAAATGAAAACATTTATATTGCTGAAGGGGAGTGAGAAAGGGCTAAAGTGAGTGGATAAGACTCATTGCACCTCACTTGTGAGACGAAAAAGACCCTTGAATTTTGTTTAGGCCCACAAGCATTAAATGAGAGTAAGGAATAGGTCCAATTCCATTGTTCCACGAGTTGCAATGTTGACCATTAAACATTTGTTGTGTTGTCCTTATCATCATCATGGACCGCCAATTGCTACAGTATACACTGTAGGAATTGCAACTTGTTAACATCAACACAGGAAAAAAAAAAACATTTTTCACATATATAAGTATTCAAAGGTCTCATGGTTGTTGTGCATCCCTTCCTTCTTCTTCTACTGTTCTGGTACTATGGCGCAGTCTACGGTCTCTATTGACAATGCAAAGCTGCAAGATGAAGGCGCTGGTGAGTGATAGCTTTTGAACTTGCTGAATAAGCTCATAATTTCGTTTGTGCGTTTAGATCAATATGTGCAAGCAGTGGGGCTAAAAGGTCTGTTTCGTTCATTCATTTATACATGATCTCACAACACCATGAGATTTTTTGGACTGTTTTCATTCATAGATATGTTTCTGTATTGCAGGAGGGTCTATTACAGAAGGGACTACAAAGGACAAGAAGGACATCCAGCATTTGCTGGAGTATTGGCACGATGATATCCTAGATGACACCAGGCTTCCACAGGTATATAAGGATTTCCTATATTACATTGTTGCCATTGTTATTCTATCAGAGAACTCTACTTGGTCCGTTCAAGAAGAAAGATGGCTTCTACAAGGATGGATGGAGGCTTGACAGTCAAAGTAATGGGCCCTTTGTGAAGTTCCCTAAAGAAGATCCCAACACTAAGTACCAGAATTTTGCCATCCAGTGGGAAAAGTCAGTCTTTTCATGTGTGGTTGCTCCGCTCGGCCAAAACCCCCGACCTGCCAACGCTCTTATCATAGAAGCATATAATAATAGCCAGAAGGAGTTAAAGGTGGCTGTTATCAAGAGGAAGTCTGGAAACACTTGGGAGATTGTGATGGAAAAGTAATCTCCCATGTTAATTATGTTTGTACTATATTATTATGCTTGCTCTGTTTCATTCGCAGCTCTCTGCTTTGTCAACTTTTTCGACTCCATAGCCACCAAGAATCTCCTGTGCTCTTGGCTGCAACAAGGAGACTCCAACCGTGATGAGCTTGATGGGAGACAGAGGATGATATAACGTTTCTCTCAGTTCTAGCTTTCTCTTATCGGTTGAGAGCATTACCATTCACTGCATGATCAATTATGATTTACATGTTTGGTTTGCCCATCCATCTAAGGATGATATTCATTTGAGAGTTTCGAAATCATTTATATAACCTTTGCAAAACTTTTTCAAAATCCATTTGTGAACTTTGAATTTCAATCCTGCAGTAAACCAAAATCAGGAAAAACTTTTTTAAAGTAAACCACAGCTAATCTGCAATGCCATGGTGAAGAGTATGCCATATGGAGCCACTCCAATCACCTGGAACACACTACTGGCGACCTTATAAGTCCTGGCAGTATCGTGAAGGGACTCCCAGAGACCATGAAAGCTGCCCAGTGGCTCACGTCGTAAAGCTTCCGGCTTACCATCATTGGCCTTGATCATCTCCACAGCAGTCTCCCTGAGAGCTCTCGCAATATCCATTCCTTGGACCAGATTTCTGTATATCTTCTCCATGCGCACCTGAGTGGACTCTCGGGAGCACAAAATCCTTTGTTGCATCACCCTCTCGGATCAAGGCTGTGTGCGTTGGCACTCTTTAGAAGGGATTCGACCCCTTGGCATAGTATAGATCTCTGGTGGAGCGAACGCGATTGCCGTTGCTGCTGCTGTTGCAGGACTTGTTTGTCACAATGCTTCAAGAGCCTTAACGAGGAAATAGTTGCTACAGCATACCTCTCGATCAAATATTTGTTGTCCTCATCGATCATGGCATCAAATGGCACAAGGGAAATATCAGCAAAAAAGACAAGAAACTGAACTATAACCAGTGAATGTTTTCGAGCTGTGATTCAAAAGACTTGACGATAACATGGTAGTATCCCTGAGGTACAAGCGTTGAAGTCGCATTCTCGGTTATGCCCGTGTTGTGCAACAGGTAGAGGCGAGATATGACCAAAACGACTGTGTCGATTCCAACGTCTTTGAAAATGACTTGGACTTGCCCCCATGCTTTCTCGTCGTCCATGTCGAACTCATCATGCTTCTTGCGGTCACCTTTGGTTGTGGCCAAGAACAGCACGTCCCTTGCATGACCCCTCTCAAACCAGAAAATTGCCCGCAGAACAAAAACAGTAAAATAAAAATACTTGAACTCGCTCAAAGCGTATAGGGAACTCTGAACCTGATCAAAGTTGTACTTCATGGTTTTTAAGTCCGTGATCCTTCCTGTGCTCAAGAGCCAAAATTTGAATTTACCCGCAACCAACACCTGAGCAAAAAACTGATCAAAACAGAGAAAAAAAAACACCCAAAAAACACATTATATCATTAACTTTTATTAATCGAAATTTTATTTTTAATATAATCTGAAACTTGTAATTTGCGTCTCACTACATAACAACATATTAGCAAAACAAGTATACAGTTATAGACTTACCAACAAATACTCTCTGATCTTATTTCTTCTTTTTCTTAAAGGTTTTACTTTTCTTTTTGCTGAGAAAAAATAAAATTTTAATTTTACTATTAAAATTTAGTAAAATATTACCTTGTTTCGGCCACCACAAGCTCTTCTGCTGCATTTTCATTCGCTCCTCGATTGCCAATTATATTTCGCTCAGCCTCCTTGATCCTTTCCATCTGTTTCTTGCGAATTCCAGCGACAGAAGACACTTGCAATGCTCCTTTGAATCCTTGGATGTATTGGCAAAAGTCCCGAACCAAATACCCATCAGAATCATTTTCCGGTATCCAATTTCTACCACCGGTTGGCGCAGTGATGAGGTAGTGTTCCCTTATAGCACAGGCCCAGAGTGATGCAGCAGATGCTCTCCCACCATTAAACTTTACTTCTTGGCATGCCACATCCTAATACACCAGAACAAGAAACACAAAGTGAAGCAAGTAACACATTGCAAAACAAATGTCAATTGGTGTGTAGAGATAATGTGGAAACTGAGCTAACACACCTCATAATCTCTAGGCCAAGAAACAGACTCCTCCTTCTCCACTGCTGCCACCTCCTCCTCCACTGCTGCCACCTCCTCCTCCGTAGCCACCTTCTCGAATAGGCCTAACCCTAAAACAATTAAAAAGTTTCCAGTCTAAATTTGAAGAGGAGTCTTGTAAACAAGCTAGCTAATCAGATAACCATTCCAGTAAAATGGCAGCTGCAAATCTTACACAACCTGGCGGGATTTGACAGTCATTACTACTGATTTTGTTCTGCTTTATGCTAATCCAGGCGTGACTCGTGGTGCGCAGTCGTCTTCTTCCACAGCGACTGGATAGATATAGAAAAACACTGTTTACTTTTCTAGAAACCATCTAGAAGAAACTCACAGCTACTTGTGCCGCCGCTCTTTTCCAATGGCGATGGCGATGCGTTGTGCTGCTACCACCCTGCCGCCGCTGTGGTGTCGTTTGCTACTCGCGAGGAAGATGGCCTACCTTCCATCGCCGTATGCTCTCGACATGACCAAGGATCATATGTCGGAGCGCGAGCACTCCCTGGAAAACATGTACTTCTGGGTTCGTTTCTTCTTCCTGAGAGCAAAAGAGAGAATTTCAGTGGCTTGGATAGGCAAATTTACTTACATTTGGTGCTTGTTGACGCAGAAAAAGGAGCGGGAGCTCCTCAAGAAGCTCGCCAAGAAGGTCGGTATTCCTTTTTGTAGGATCTCCAGTGTATGATAAGAATCGCAGGCCGGAATCGAGGTCGAGGATACTCGACAAGTGGTGCCGCCAATTGTCCCTCTGCCAAACTCGGCTTTTACAGTCACTCTCTTGGGGCTGGAGAACGAGGAGCTTCGAGCTGCAGAGGGATGAAAGTTCCAAGCAAGGAGAAGCTTGATCGACTTGTAAGATGTGTGATATAACTCCAATGTGAAGAGATAAAGAAGAAAATTTGCTCAAGCAAAGACTCACATTCCAGTAGAGCGTTCTTCGCCGCTCTTCCTCTCTCTGCTTAGATACAAGAATCTACGTTCAAGAAGGAAGATGAAGCTTCTCGTTGTTCCTCCAGCTGCAACGCAAAACAGAATAAGGATCAGCACACACACTCAAAAAAAAAAAAAAAAAGGATTGGAAAAAAAAAACTTGGATTGGGATTCCGTACCACTTGATGTAATAGTAAAAGAAGTCCGCATACAGCGCGGTCTGTACAATTCCAGATATCCATGCTGCACACGGGAAAAAACGGAGAAGAAATGAATTTAAAATCCTTGGTAAGTTGTGATATAAACAAAAATGTCATACTTATCCATTGCCTGTAGCCCTTTTCAGTGAAATATCGAACGATCCAATTCAACAGATACAGCCCTCGATATGCCCTGAAATGAAATCAAAAGCATGAAACGAAAGCAAGTTTGTGAAGCGTACCCAAGCAAAAAGACATAGTTCCCGGTGAGGTTGTCGATGTTTTTGGTTCGCTGTAACAACACCAACTGAGGAAAGATCGCCACAGCCTCCAGGTAGATAGAAAACGTCCACAAAACCTGCCATATTCGAAAAACTTAGATGATATCATACCAAAAGGAAAGAATAAGAAAAAGAGGAAAAAGGAAAAGGAAAGAAGAAAGATCATCTACCAAAGAAAAAGAGGTCGGTGCCAAGTATAACCTACCTCCAGTGGAGTGAATTTGGTCTTGATCAGGAGCGCGAGAGCAAAGCATGGAATGATCAGCATGTAATGCTTGAAAGTGTCCTGCTCCTTGTCGTAAGTCTGGCGCACGACCTTGTGATGCCTCATGTACCACACGATCGTGAAAGAGGTTCCGAGAAAAATTATTTTCATCACCGTGTTATAGAGCGAGACATGGTGCGTGAAAATATCCAAGTAGCGCGTCGCAAAGACGAGGGCATAGAGCTCCTGCGTCTTGAGAGAAATCCCTGCGCAAAGATTTCTAAGCAGCACGAAATCAAAAGAATCGAAGAAAATTTTCTCTCTTCCCTTACCGGCGCAAGACTTGATGGTGTGGATCTTGAGCAGCAGCACCACGACGCTGAGGAGATGGGTCATGTCGCCGCAGAGCCGGAAGATATTCATCGCTGCTGCTCCGATTGATCGGCCACTCCACGCTCTGATCGATCGCGGCTTAGAAACCCTCCACGCTCTCGATCGATCGCGCCTAGAAACCCTACTCCACTAGCAAGCTACTGGAAAAAAATGTATAGATTTAAATTTTAGGGCATTCATTTAATCCATGACTTCACAGGCGAGAGATTTGGAGCGGGATGGCGAGCTCGATTTCTTCCGCCATGGCCGGCTGGAAGAGCTCCAGATCTTTGCATCGCTCCTCGATGGTCTTGCGGCACTCGGCGGCGGCGAGAACTCCAGTGGCAAACGCGCCGTGGACGGTCCCTGGAAAGCTGCTGCTCGTCGCCTCTCCAGCGAAGAACACGAGATTGTCCACTGGAGCGCGCAGTCGATCGTAGGCGCCGTGAGAGACACCCACGGCGTCATAGCTGTAGCAGCCGAGGGAGTTTACGTCGGATCCCCAGTGAGACACCAAGCACTTGGTCTGCAAGAAGAAGAAAAGAGTTTTTTAGCTCCAAACTAGAGACCAAGAACAACGAAGAACTTACCGGCAAGGAAGCGTTTGGCAGGATCTTCTTGAGCTGCGAGAACGCGTAATTCTTGGCGGCTGATTCACTCAGCTTCTCCAGATCGTTGGCGAGATTTCCAGCGGGCATGTAGACGAGAACCGGGTGTCCTGTGGCTTTGTGCAAGTTGAGGAAGTAGCTGCACTCGTACGTGGTGGAAGCGACCACGCCCAGGAACTCGACGTTGGGCCAGAAAACGTTGTCGAAGAGCATGGCGATCTTGTTCTCGTTTCCGACACCCAGTTCATTGATGGCTTTTACTTTCCAGTCCGGGAGTTGAGGCTCAAAGTTTATGATCTTGGCTTGGAGCACTCCGAGAGGAGCAGCAACAACGATCGCGTCTGCGTTGAAAACCTTTCCATTTTCTACAGCAACGCGGACACCTTTCGGATGTCGACTTATTTTTGTTACTCTGGACAGACAAAATGCAAAGAAAAAAAGAAAAACTCATCAGTCGTGGACTATCGCGTTCTTGCGCGTGTTACCTGTGATTCAATTTTATATCGAGTCCTTCGGCCAAAGAGAAAACGACAGGCCAATAACCTTTGACCATGAGGCCGTGGCCACCTTCAAGTAATTCTTCCTGCACACGAAAGGATCTGAGTCACGGGGAAGAGAATTGGTCATGTCTCACCTCATCCCAGTTCTGGAGGGAGATTTTATCTGCGTCAGCAGCAAACCATCCTTCCAGTCTACATAAGTACCACTGTAAAACTCGGTGTCCCAGGCCTTCTTGTCTGAAACAGGGATATTTAGTGCTAAGTCGGAGTAGGAAAGCTCGTACCTCAGGTCTGGACGTCTTTTAAGTATGATCGAGAAGGCCTGCTTCAGCGACATATCTTGTGCAAACTCCTCACGAACTTTCTTAGTCTGCACGAAAAGAACCAAAGGAGTTTAACGCTATGCTTTCTAAGAAACAGTAAGATACTTCTTCAAGCAAGGCCTCGAAAACTTCGCCCATTCTAGTCACCAGCTGCGGTGGAATCTGGTTCCCTGCCGTGTCGAAGAGAGCATAGCTGCAACATCATGGAACGAGTTAGAAATACCATAGAACCACAACTATCTGCGGCAACTAGACGAACTCGAGCTAACGAATGAAATTTCCCTGAAATCACATCACCTCTGGAAGATAAATCTCAGTCATAGTCGCTGATGCCAGAGCCTGCAAGCCTGATTCTTGATAGAAACCTGGAGCAACTATATTAACCCAGAGCTCCCAAGAACTCAACATAAGAAAAAACAGAATGCTCTGTCCTTTCCCATGCAGCTAGAGAGTAAAAGTAGCTACTTTGTGCACACTCACACACTCCTAGATTTCGAGTGTTCCTACCACCTAGATGACGCCTATCAAAAACAAATTTGCTTGCCTTTCAAGGTCGTGGTCATAGAGGACAGAGTCGTCCCCACTTGTTCGGTAAAGAGGCAGCCTCAAACGTCCTATCAAGGAAGCCAAGGGGTTGTCTTGGCAAACTCCATGTAGCCTGCACAGAAGGACAAGATCGTCTCGTTTCTTTCCTTAAAAGATTTGCTCTTTTCATAAACTACCATGAGGCACCCATATCAACAGGAAATCCGAAAGAAAAGTCTGTATAGATCCGACCTCCAATTCGATCTCTTGACTCGAGTACCGTCACCTACAAAATCAAATGAACAAAATGAATAAGTGAAGAACAAAAGAGACAAGGATTCCCACCTTGAACGCTGCTTTGTGAAGCATTCTTGCAGCTGCCAAGCCGGAGATCCCAGCCCCTACAACGAGAACAGTAGGAGAAGATGACGATGAATCATCTGAGGAAAGAGAGAGGAATTAGCAACAAAGAGGTGGAAACAAAGTAATTCTTACTGGATGATAACATCGTGGGTGCCATTGCGTGTAGAAGAAAGCCGAGAATTCAATTTTTATGGTGTTTACTACTACTGGGTTGTGATAATGAGGATGGATCCAGGGAGCAAAAGAGATACTTGAAGGGAAATATAAAGAACAGAAAAACGAAGTAACCGAGATGAGGCGAAAGCAACCTCAGGCATACACAAACTCCAGACATGCACACTTATTAGAGGAGGAACACACAAAGCAAAGATCAAAGCAAAGAAAAGGAAAGAAGAACAACGAGAGAAAATTCAACCCAAGGATCTAGAGTGGCAACTGAGGAGTTGAAAGAGTGGATTCCAGGGAGGAAGAAAGGGGATTTTGAAGCAGAAGCCTAGCGTGTGGCACGTATCTCGTGAGAAATGGATGGTGGAGAACGCAAAAAGGAGAGAACACGAGAAAAACAAGACTATGGACGGACGGATGGACTGGAGGATGGGACTTCTCTCGCGCGAGGAGGGTGACACACAGGCACGAAGAAGAAACGGCAAACAAGCAGCGACAAGCCGCGCTGGCTTACTCCCTGTCCTGGATGATCTCGACCCGGCAACCCCCTATTAAAATCGAAATCTATTCTATTCTATTTTCGATCCAGATTCCAGACCAGAGCAGGGCGCGCGCGCGATCGCTGCTGCGAGATCTATCTTCGACCAATCCGCGCCGCGCCGATCGACCGCAACAGGGCAAATCGCTGCCGCTCCAGACAAAACGAAATAGGGCTCTTAACACAAAAAGGGGTAAAAAGGCGCGGGCCCTGAGAATCGAACCCGGAATCTATCGATATTTGCAAGGGGCTGGAATCGACCCTGTGACCTCAGAGATTTTAGGGCGTGTGGGATCGAGGTCAGTAGCTAGGGCTCATGCGGCTTCTTCCTCTAGCTTGGATCCTCACTGCGCTGTGTCGCCTCGTTTGCAGATAGATTTCTGCTAGTGTCTGCGCTGCGAAATTCTTTCTTGTTTCTTCTTCTTGCCGGGGATCATTTGGCCAATGCAGCAGCTCAAGTGAGAATGGACACTGGGCGTTACTCTAGCAGCGTATGACACCGTTAAATTCTTCTTCTCTCAGTGATAGCCCGGCAGCCGCCGCCTCGCGACACTAAAAATCATGACTTTATGCTCTAGTTCCATAACGAATGCGATCCTGACTCAATCTTCTTCGTTATACAGGCTGTGGAGGGCTATGGGCTTCGCTACGAGCAAAGTGACCGGTAAGTCGATCGAGAGCTCTCTACCTCTTTTTTCTTCCAGTTTCTTAAGTGTTTCTCTTTGTTTTGTTCGTAGATTGAGTTATACTGCGGATGATGATGTCGGCTATGAAGGAGCGGCATTCTACCACCAAAACGAGTATGGGGGCTCTTGGGCCTCTGCCCAAGACTATGGAAGACGAGGCTCTTCGAAGTGGTCGTCTTACGAGGACAAGTACTCGACGCATGGAACTGAAGAGCATCCAAGGGGTGGCGGTCAGTTTGAGCGCGAGAGGTATCGTCGAGGTAGAGACTGGCATCGAGACCGAGAGAGAAGTAGAAGCAGGAGTAGGAGTAGGAGCCGAAGCAGGAACAGGGACCGAAGCCCAGCTCGTGATCGAGGACGTGATCGCGTGGTTTTTTCTGGCTATGACGACAAGAGCAACTCAAGTTCTTCCTGGAACGGCTACGGACGAGATACAGCGTACGAGGAACACGGAAACTTGCAGTACGATTCAAAGAAACAGCTCAACGACAGAGGCCGATACGATTTTCCTGCAGTTGTGAGTGAACTCGACATGATTTCCTGTTTTTAACTTGTTTGTAAATGTTGCCAGGCTCCTTCAGCTACGATTGTTGTCAAGGGACTTTCACAAAAAACCGGGGAGCACGATCTTTACGAGGCCTTCGTAAGAATGACGACTTTTAAGTTTCTTAATTTCTTTGTATGCTTATTCTGTTGAATGTAGGCCATCTGGGGCCCCTTGAAGCACGTTCGAGTGATCAAAGAGCGAATTTCTGGCGTTTCTCGTGGTTTTGCCTTCGTAGATTTTCCGTCCGTGGTAAGAACTTTGTTTGGAACTATTAGAAATGTTCATCTCCGATGCTGAGAGCGAGTAAGGTTATTGCAGGAAGCTGCACAGACGATGATGGCTGAGGCTTGGGATGAAGGCATGGTTTTGGATGGCCGCAAGCTCTGCTTTGAATACAGGTATGACTTTGCACATGGATGTTTATGGCAGCTTTTTCACCGCAAATCGTGACAGTAGCAAGCCAACTGCTGGACCTGGGGGACTTCCTGGCGCAAGACAACCGGGCCGAGAAGTTAATGACTGGATATGTACTTTGTGTGGATGTGCAAATTTTGCACGCCGTGTATTATGCTTTCAGGTAAGATGATACGTTTCTGATTCTTTACCCCGTTGTTTTCGGATGTGTTAACAGTGCAACGAAAAGCGTGCGGAGGATGCACCACTGGCGGAGGTTCCGATCAGCGCCGGAAGGAAGTTTTCAGATCCTGGTTAGTTTCTGGGTTTCTCTCTGTAGCATAAACTAACGTGGAGTTTTCCAGGTCCGAGCCAAGTCTTGCTTGTCCGGGGCTTAGACAATAGCATCGACGAGGAAATACTCAGCAACGAGTTTTCCAAGCACGCGTCACTGAAAGTATGATCGAATTTACATTTTTGTTAGTGCAGAAATTTACTTGTTATTTCGAGCAGGAAGTTCGGATAGTCAGGGATAGGCATACTCAGCTCTCTCGGGGATACGCTTTTGTTTCATTTCACTCGGTGAGTATTTCTTTCATGTTGAAGTTTATGTGTTGTTTATAAGCTGGATGCTGTGTTCAGATTGATGATTCTACAAGGGCCATGAACGCTACAAACGGATGTGTTTTGGAGAGAAACAGCCAGATTCTAAGAGTATCATATGCCAAAAGCTTAAATGGATACTCTGCTCTGGCAAGTGGCATAGCTGCCTCTGCAATTGAGGCCGCAGCATTCCCTCAACAAGTAAGCAATTGTTATGTTTTACGTAGATGTGTTCTCACGCGGATATAAATGACAGTACGCTTGGGCTCCGAAAGAGTATAACCCGCAACAGCAAGATGATCAGATTGGCGATAGTGCTGCAACACCAGAGACCGGTTTCGTTTGGGACGAGGCGTCAGGTTACTATCACGATGCAGCATCAGGGATGTACTACGATGCAACTCGAGGTTCGTGATTGCCTTCACGTGTTTTTGAATTTTCTTAGAACTTACAAAATGAATCAACACAGGGCTCTACTACAGTGGAAAGGATGGTGCGTGGTACAGTTACGACCATGAAACCCAGGAGTACCAGCCGTATGTCGACGAAAACGCCAACGAAAGCACTCAAGCTACTGCTGCTGGTGCTGATACTGCTACTGCTCCAGAAAACGCTAGTACTTTGAAAGACGAGGACAAAGAAGACGCTGGTGACGAAAAGAAGCAGCCGAGTCTAGCGGAGTCCGTGGCTGCTGCTGCTCTTGCAGCACAGGCTGCCATGAAGAAGGCAAAAGAACGAGAGAAAGACATGCGTCTGGCTGCTGGGAAAAACCTGGGAAAGAAGAAGATCAACGACGCAGTGAACGTGTGGAAGCAGCGGCAAAACGAGGCCCGAGCTCCTGTCACCACCACCACCACCAAGGCAAGCACAGCAGCGAAGGCGTTGGGAAGATCTGGCGGTGAAAGCCATGGAACAATGAGCAACTTGGGACGTGGTGGAACTAATCCATTTGGTGGAGACTATCAGCCAGTGCTATCTACACCTGTTCTAGCAGCTGTGGAGCAAAGTTCCGTGATCTCGAGCAGCACTACCGTCAGCAATAGAGTAGAGCCCGTGAAGATGACTCCGGCAACTCCACAACAGCGAAACAGTGTTTGTTCGTCCCAGCCATTGTCGTCGAGATCAGCAGCTCCAGCAAGAAGCCGCAGGAGATTTATGGAAGCTCCAGTATCAAGAAGCTAAGTTACAAACTATGTTAAAATTGTGATAAATTTGTTTTTCCTTAACGATTGCCCCGAGCAGCTTGATGATTGTAGCGTACTCTCTTCTGTTCCCGACTTTGCTGTTGGATTTGCTTATGTGTGCCTCCTCTCAATCAGGCTTTTCATCCAAAAGCGCTGAAATTTATTGCCATGCAAAAGGACTGAACCCTTTGATAACATTATTTTACAATAATGTATATAATGTTTAATCATGAAGATTTTAGGATGCCATTCTTTAAGCACTTAGTATTTCATCCCACCAAGTCATCAAACTTGAGCTTGCCAGTCCAATTGCGTAAACTCAAAACAGCTGCCTCCCGTGCACCTCTCGCATCCAAACTAGTCACGGTTGCAGTCTGGTCCTCGGGATCAAACCGCACCCCCCAGAAATATATCGACTCGTCATCTGGTTTAATCTCCAAAGGATCCTTGCGCAGAGTAAAGTTGATCAAGTAGACCTGTGCAGAGTGCTGCTTACTGTAGTCTACGGACATCTGGTAGCGAGCTCTCAAGTTCTTCACGTCTGCATCGACAACATATTCAAACCCGAACCTTGGAAAGTGCTGATGGTCGCGGACTAAGGTATGGAGGCGTGACTGGCTGCGTCGGACACCTTCGACCGGAACCTCCTTCACCTCAGGGAGGACAACCGCACCAACAAAGGGGTAGGCCGATTGCAGCACTGCCTTGACCCTGCACATGAAAATGAACTGATGGGAGTACTCGGAGCACTCGGGCCTGCATGGAAACATCAAAAGGTGAACGAGCACACAAGAAAGCCGCAAAGCTCACCTGAAAATGCAGTCGTAGTCGAGCGTCCTGATTGCCTGCTGGACGAGCCAAGTTCGGTTCACAAGATGGCGAGGTGATGGAGGATCGTCGACCTGCTGGCCGCAGATAGAACACCGTCGAAGTATGGCCGTACGAAGCAACGGAGACGATATGCTAACTTGGTACTTATCGTCTCCCGATGATACGGCAGTCAATACGCCTTCAGCCAGCAAATCACGGAGGTGCACCACGCTCTGTAGCTCGCGCTTCTCCTGTCCGAGGAAGCTGACCAGAAGATCGTACAGCGCTTGAGAGATGGTGGACGTCGTCCTGAAGAAGGACATGATTCGGGCATACGTTGCCTGTCCGAAGAGGTGGCGGCCGAGCTTGAACGAGTCCGACAGTTCCAGCCAAGACTTGAACGTAAAAGCTTCCTCCTGCATCATATACGCCAGGCAAGTCCCGACCAATCCTTTGTGCCCCGAAGTCTGTTGCCAGATGTGTGTTGCCACCTCCACCACCTGCAGAATCTTCCCTCCGTGCTCCTCGTTGGCCTGCTCCATGAGACTGATCAATTCTTCCACGGTGAACGGACGCAAAGCTTGTGACAAGTCATGCGGAAAAGGGGACAATCTGCTCGGTGCAGCGCTTTCAAGGTACCCTTCGTTTGCTGCATGCCTTCTTCTGTCATACTGTGCCTCGAGCAGGTCTTTGATCGTCTCGACACCAGCCAGAGCAAATGCCCACAGGTTGTAGGAGGCCCTCTGTGACTTCATGTCTTTGATTGTATGGAAGAAGACGTCTAGGCAGCCAGGGTCGAGCTTGAGCAGGGTATCTGCTTCATCTAGAATGACCACCACCTTGCAACTGACTCGCACTGTTTTGCGGAACATGCTCATGAAGACGATATCGTCACACATCCCTTCGTGTTTCTGTTCCGCAAACAAAGCCGGGCACGCAAGGTGCAACCTCCTGCACAAGTCTCTCCACATATCTGAAGAAGTCCAGTCCTTGGCCGCGCTGCTCAAGCCCCCGATGTAAACCGGAACCAAGCCCGACTGTTCCAATCTCTTCGCAACCGCGTAGAGCAGGGTGGTCTTCCCGCTCTGCCTTCGGTCACACACAACACAGTAGCGGCCAGCGACGAGGTCCTCGGCCAGAGCTTGAGCGCCTTCGGGCTCGATAAAGAAGCACTCAGTGGGGTCTTGTATCGCGACGCCAGTTGCAAACCGACGAGGTTTGAACACCACCTCCGCTCTGGCTTTGTATCTCCAGCCCTCGATCTCCGTTAGCTTCAAAGTGTCGGGGAGAGGGATGACGCTCCCATCCTGATCGACATGCGCCTCGAGGACTATTTTGGAGCTGCTACAACCCCGTGACGAGAGAATCATCTGGATCACCTCTTTCACTGTCGTGCCGCTTGGCACGCTCCATTCTTCGGAACCCAAACCCACAAGAACTTCGCCTACCTTGACCCGTTTCCCCTCCGCCATGAAGCTTCAGTTCGAACATAATTCGTTTAAAACCCTCGTTTTGATAACAAAAAGTGTTTTTGAAATTTTTTGCTAACCTTTAAAAAAATTCTTATTTTTAAGAAAAAAATTTATTATTTAAAGGCTACTCATTTTTAAAATGAATGCTATAATATTGATGCCCAATCATATGGCAATCAATATATAATTGCACATGAGTGCATTTTTTATTTACACATGTGTATTTTTTTTTTTCAATTGCACAGAGTATTATAATGCATAACAATTGAAACGTGATTGTGTGTAATATAATTTGGCAGAATGCCAGATATGAATCCAACCCATGTCAACTAGGATTGTCCATAACAAATAAACATGTCTAAGATTGCCAGATACAATTGGGTGGAAATGCTTAGAACGTGTTGCCCAACAGCAGAATCACACACTCTAGCTCATCCAACTTGCCAGCCACAATCTCTACCAATCGCTTATGAATGCTATGACATTCTAGTCCCTTGGATCAAAACTTTTGGTGAGGAGTTTGAGTGCTATATTGCAATGCATATGGCACGATTCTTGCTTATTCTGAGGTAAAGATGGGCTAGACTCTAGATTGGACCCCATTGCATGTAGCCATTGAACATCAAGCTCCATCTAGGATGCCAGGTTTAAATCATCTCACGACTCATTCTTGCCATTCTTGCCAAATTTAAATTACAAAAAAGAAGATGGTGATGTGGCAAATGAATTGACATAGATTAAAAATTTATATATAAAAGATGAATCATATGCATGTTTAAACAATTCAAACACACATGTGTATGAAATTGATATATATATATATATATATATATTGCAATATAATGCAATTTTTACTAGGCCACCTACCCCAGGTACAGAGGTGTACTCCCCCAATATCTACAAGTTGCCAAAATGAATAAGGGATTTGTTTTGTGCTGGTCAATTTATCTTGTCCCCAGGAGGGATTGACTGATAGATAAGTAACTCTCTTTTTTCTGTGAGCACAGGGCTTGTTTGATGTTTAGCTAGTTGGTAAGCAGCAAGGTCAAACACTGATTACAAAAGAATTAGAGAAAGTTTAACTGCGCCGAGGAGATATTTCTATCCGGTGTAATGGCTGTACCAAGAATATCCTGGTATCATAGGATATCCCTTTATCTGGATTTTTAAAGAAAAATTGTGGTTATAGATTTAGAGGAAATCCAACTCTAAATCTAATCCAGCTCTAGATTTCTTATGACCGATCCAATTTACATGCATGTAGTTATTTACCTTTTTGCAACAACCTGGCGATGGTGGTGTCAAACGCATCCCGGTACTTGAGCAGCCTCGTCCCCGGCTGCGCGTAGAGCAACCCCGGAACAATCTCCTCGATAATCTTCCTCCTCATGAGCAGCCTCTGCCTGGGAGAGACGTGCTCCACCACGTCCACCACGTCCACTCTCCGCCTCTTGACATCGCTGGCCGACACGAACACCGAGTACGAGGACGAGTCCTCGGGAAGGTGCCACGCATACTGGAAGTAAGCGGTGTCGGCGTCGAACAACACTGGGATACACCCGGCGATGAGAGAATCGAAGACCGAGCGTCGGGTGGCACTGTCCCCCGGCGGCTGCATGCAAAACTGGGAGCTCAAGAACAGCTCCATGGTCGGTTCCGGACTGTCGCACAGATTCCCCGAGCAGGCCAGCAGCTTGCAGCGATCTGGGCGATCCTTGCACTGGTTGATGAGGTGAGTCCGGAGGTGCTCGGGGTCCCTCGGCATCCCGGCGAAGCTGACGAGATTGTCCCTGCTGGAGGAAGCGATGCGTGAGATCCAGGTGCTTATGTCGGAGTCGGAGCTCGGGTGGAAGTAAGTCGGGTGTGGCACTGCGATCTCGTTTGGCTCGAAGGGATCTCGCTCCAGGAGAAGCTTGGTCATGTTCTCGAACTCGGCCATCTTGAGCAGCGTGTTCCCCCACATTGTCTCGTTGTTCCTGCGAAAGTCCCAGGTGATCTTTCCCATCACCAAGAGATGGTCCCTGCCATTCCTCCGCCACCACCACTGCTGCCGCTTGAGGAGATCCATCACTTCCAGCCCGAGCTCGTTCTTCTGCTCCAGCGTCTCGTTGGTGTAGTGGTACCTGAGAACGTCAAGGCCGGCGTAGTATGGAACGTAGAAGAGCGACGCTTCCTCTGGAGAGTCCGTGAGGCATGGATAGTGGAGTAGCCTCTGGTGGAAGAGAACGTCGAGAGCGTACTGGTTGGTCTGGAACCACTTCCCTGCTGGTGCTAGGACCGAAGAACTGGAGCTCTGCACTGGGACTCCCATACCCGAGTTTGTGAAGTAGTCACACATGCTGAACCACGGGAGAAATGTCCCGCATTGCTCGAGTATAGCCCGATTGAATCTCTCCGGGAGCTTGTAAATGTAGATAGCTCGGCCGGAACAGGGGGAACCCGATGAAACCACCCGTGACGATGTATCACTTCCACCCCTCAAGCTGTCGATGATCTCCTTCTTCTTCCAGCCCAGTTCCATCTCCTCGGACAAGGAACCACCATCGTTGTGGCCCGAGAACTTGTAGTGCTGCTCTACGCTGTGGCTAAATCTGATCTCTGCCGCTGGTGGAGCAGTGAAGGATTGGAGCTGCTCCAGAGGTACGAAGTTCCATACCACCCAAACGGCGAACAAAGTGGCGAGAACGAGTCGAGTTAACGGCATTGCCATCGTCCTGCGCTGTACTACCATAGCCTGATCCCTGGCGACGACCATCGATCATCTTCTTCGTCGATGACAGATCCTCGCCTTCCT